GTTTGCAACAAAAATCCTCAACCGACCCAATTTGTTAATTTGTTAAGTACAAAAGCGGGTAAAATTTGTTCTCGACCCAAAACTCGACAACACCGGTACCAGGTCAAATTAGCTTGAACACACATGAATTTGGGTTCAACTGTCATAAGAGGCGGGTTAAATTTGGGTTCAATCCCAAAGCGACCCAAAATTTGTGAGCACACATGAATTAGCATGAACTCACATGAATTTCTCTGACCGGTTTGATACAGCGGGCGAGTTTCTAACAAAATCCACACTCGACCCAATTCGTCGATCACAAAAGCAGTTAAAATGCGTTTTCGACCCAATTCGATGATTACAAAGATGGATAAAATTCATTCACGCCCCAAAAAGTGTAAAGGGTAAAACTCGTCATCGACACAAAATGCGTCAACACTGAGTTTAAGTCGATAAAGTGGGGCTTTGGGTTCAACTGTCAAAAGAGGCGGGTTCAATCCCAAAGCAATCCAAAATTTGTGGACACACATGAATTAACTTGAACACACATGACTTTCTGCGACCAGTTTGATAAAAAGGGGCTAGTTTCTAACAAAATCCACACGCGATCCAATCCGTCAATCAACAAAGCGGGTAAAATGAGTTCTCGCCCCCAAAAGTGACAACGGTAAAACTCTTCATCGACCCAAAATGCGTCAACACTGGATTTAACTCGATAAGGTGGAGTGCGTTTTTAACAAAATGCACACCTGACCCTATTCCTTAATTTTAAAAGCGGGTAAAATTAATTCTCGACCCAAAACTCGCTAACACCGATACCTAGGGCTGGATTTTCGGTTATCTCGGTTATAATCGATAACCGAAATGTCGGTTACCGATTAATCGCGAAGCCAGACACGCCTACCGCCAACCGCCCGACGGAGCCCATCGGTTATCCGACAATTGATCGCTCGGTTACCGGTTAGTTGCTCAGTTAACCGAGTTAACCGCAATAATTAAAGGAGAGGAACAACAGCGGCTGCTGGTGGACTGGTCGGTGGACGAACAACGACAGGGGACTATGGCTGGCGACGGAGGAACGGCGGAGAAGGATTTTGGCTGGCGGCGAGTTGTGACTATCGCTTGCGACGCTGGAACGGCGGCGGAGGAACGGCGGCTGTTGGCTACTCGTGGACTGGTCGGGGTCTCGGGAGGAGATGGCGGAGCAGCAAGGGCGCTGGGCGCGGGTCGTGGAGGGAGATGGCGGCGTAGCAGGGGCGCCAGGCGCGGGTCGGGGAGATTCGCCGTTCAACCTGAACGGTTCAGGGCAGGGGAGAAGGGAGTCAGGGCAGGCGGGCGGCGGCAGAGAGTTCTCTTCGCGTCGCGATGCAGAGAGGAGACGGGAAGGGTCATGGTTAGGGGTGGGCGGGTGGCTTCGATTAGAGATTTAGGGTTAGTTCTTGCGGCGTCGTTTTACGAAAAATGAGGGGGGTTAGATGTGTCGGTTAGTCGGTTAACCGGCGGTTATCGCCCTTGGTTAGCCGGTTAACCGCCACATCTAACCCCCCTACCGAACACCCCCCGCGAACATAATTTTCGGTTTATCAAGATGGATATATCGTGCGGATTATTAGAGAAAATATATAACTTACTATGATAACGATAATTGGAATAGAAAATTAGTTCCCATCAATGCATGTGCTTTTGAAATTAGGTTTAGTCTGCTACTACCTACTGTCAATGCACATGTTAGTAAAATATATTCTTGAATGGGATAGTTGACCAGTCTAATAGAGTGAAACGATATTGTGAATGATTATATGGTGACGCGTGAGATAACATTAAGAGAAATCTTAATAATTTGAATAATTATGTAGTTTTAAAATAATTTGATAATATGAAACATGAAATTTTATAATGAGTTATTGTTCAAAAATTATTTACGTTATCTTTTTTAATGTACCCCTTCAATGAAATTCTAGACCTACACCACTGTTTCTAGTAATCTGATATTGATTCTTCTCCTTACAATATCGATTCTAACTGATAACTTGTATTTAGTATATGTTTTTCACTTAGGTTTTACTATCTTTTGCATTGTCGTTTTTACCAAGATATGTATATTACTGCCATTATTATGCATGATATGTTGGTTTGTGTTTTATGTTGTCGTATATTAAATTAGATTAGGAACGGAGTCCAAATTTTACAATTGGATACAATAATTTTTTCGGCTCAAGATAGGGTGCATAACCCATGGTTATGCACCCATCAATAACCAAATCTGGACTCTTCATTTAGAAAATCCAGATCTAAAGATGGAGAATTAAAGGTTATTTTTATTTTCACTAGCTTTCTTAATTGACTCATATCTTTTTCGTTTTAACTCGGATTTTAATTTTTTTTGCACAGATGGAACGAGTTCACCGTGCTCTACAAAATGAGATCAATTTTCAATATTTTTTTAGGAAAAAAAAAATTCTGGCCTCTCGGTACCAACTGCATACCATATGGTATCTTCTTCGTTTTTAATTCGTTTTTGAAAACGTTTGCACAGCAGGGATGAGTTCATCATGATCTACTGGATCTACAAATTTCTGGGTGAACAAATTACAGGACAAAAAAATACCACACAATACCATACAATACCACCCTGGTACGGGGTGGTATTGTATGGTATCTTCTTCGTTTTTAATTCATTTTTGAAAACGTTTGCACAGAAGGGACGAGTTCATCATGATCTATTGGATCTACAAATTTCTGGGTGAACAAATTATAGGACCAAAAAATACCACACAATACCATACAATACCACCCTGGTACGGGGGTGGTATTGTGTGGTATACAATGTTAAAAGTCGTAAATTACAATTAATATATTTCTACTATCATGTATTCAACCATCCTACAGTATTGGTTTGTTCATACCACCATGGTACGTTTTTCAAAACATAGGTATGCTTTTATTTCAATACCAGTCAATACCATATGGTATAGGCTGGTAAAAAATGACTCAATTTTTTTTGTTCGAAAAATATATTAAAGTGGATATCATTTTGAAGAGCACAATTAATCTGATCTAACTGTGCAAAAAAAATTAAATTTCGACTTAAAATGAGCGAGAAATCGTCCGTCAAAGATTAAAGAGGGAAAAATTAAAGGCTTTCCATGAGAGAGAGGATGTTGATGTCATGCTGATGTGGACGGGTTACTCATGGTTACTCACCATAAGGTTACTGACCTGATCCATTCCCAATTTTTTCACCACAATCAAATAATAGACTAAGAAGATTTCATCCAATTTTTTTTTTTAAATAGAAATGTCCAAATTGTTTTGACATCAAAAAATTATCTAAAATAACGCTTACACCCACTTACACCACGAGCTCAATGGTTATACATAAAGACAATCTAAGCATTGACTAACTCATCCTTTTAATTGACTTTCCAGTATTCCAAAGTCTATAAGGAAAAGGAAAATACAGTGTGAGGATATGCACTTATATATGTTGAAGAAAAAGAATGACTGTCTGGATGTTGAGGTACCGAGTGAATTGTTAAAAGAGAAGATGGAGATTTTTTTTAGTACAATAAAGACTTACTAAAAAATCAGTTAGGGCTAAGATCTGGTGACTAGGGGGTCCCCTTAGTCACATGACTAAGTGAATCTCCACCCTTGCACCTCATTAAAATCCAAGGGCTGCTATTAATTCAATTTAATGAAGGGCAATGTAGTAATTGCATGTTTATTTTTAATTTTTAATTATAAAAGAAATAAAAAAAAGCCCAGCGCCAGCCGGCCGGCCGTCGCGTCGCCTCCCCGTCTCCGTTCTGATAATTGCGCGGCCAGAGGGAATTCCTGGGGGCGCCATTATTGATTTATTTCCATGGGGAATTTTCCCCAGCGAGTATTCTGTGCGGCCATTGTGCCATTATTCCCCAGAGAGAGAGAGAGAGTCGGAAACTTTTTCTGGTCGGAAAATTTTTTCCCGGCTACCATCGTGAACGGAGAAGAATTTTCCGGCGACAGTGCAAATTTTGTAATGTTTGTTGACATATTTTGTAATGTTTGTACGCTTTGTTATTTTGTAATTTCGTAAACTTTGTTATTTTTGTGCACCATGTTTGTCATTTTTGTCCACCATGTTCGTAATGTTTGTATGTCTAAAAAACACCCGGGTTGACTTTGGGAAGGAGCCCCTCTATATAGGGATGGAGCCTCCAAAGTCAACCCGGGTGTTTTTTCCCGTTCGTATGGATTGTCGGTCTAGTTTGTCATTTTTGTCCACCATGTTCGTATGTCATTTTTGTCCACCATGTTCGTACTGTTTGTATGTCTAAAAAACACCCGGGTTGACTTTGGGAAGGAGCCCCTCTATATAGGGATGGAGCCTCAAAAGTCAACCCGGTTGTTTTTTCTTTTTGTATGGTTTGTATTGTTTGTCGGTCTAGTTTGTATTGTTTGTACAGTTCATACGTTTGTAATGTTTGTAAATCTGTTTGTATGTTTTGTCGCTCTAGTTTGTACTGTTCGTATGTTTGTATGGTTTGTACTGATTGTATATCCGGTTTGTATACTTCGTAATTTTCCATAATACCCAAACTACCCCTGTCATTAATTAAATAGCCCTTCCCACTTTTTAACCATTGGATTGAAGTGTCCAGATCTAAGGGCTGGGAGGGGCTTAGTCAAGTGACTAAGCACCCCCTTAGTCACTGGATCCGCTCTCAATCAGTTAGTTAGGATATTACATTTATTTATATTCCTTCTAACTTATTTTTCGATCATGACGATAATAACAATTGAACTTTACTCTATATTTAAAAGACACCAATAATATCAATTTTGATGTATTGCACCAACTTTTACAACAAAATCTAACTAACTAGCTCCAATGCCTTTTCCCAAAACAAACATTAGCAATAGCAACAGAAGTAAAAAAGAAAAACATATAACTAATAATTGTTACATCAATTGATCTGTGTCTCACAATTATTAATAATTACCTCTATCTCTGTAAAATACTTTCTGTTTCAATCTCAACACAATGTTCCCCATAATTGATAATACCCTATTAATTAGCTATGAAAATTCCAACAAAAATCCCCATTATACATTTCCTTCTTCTAATTTGTTTCCTAAGAAAAAGTTTCAAACTTCTTGTTGTTCTTTTTGCCCCAGGCCAAACTAAGGCCTGGTTATGGTCTGATGGCGGCCATGGCAAAAAGAACAGCCACGCCTCAATGTTCTTGAGGTTCTCGTCAAAAAAATTCTTTCCCCACCTTCAAACTTCATGAAATTACTCTGAATCTAATTAACATATTCACCCTTTTCATCCGTCTCAAAAAAATTGTTCGTTTTTTTATAATATAATCAGTTTCCCTCTTAAAGTTCCCATTTCTTTTGTTGTGTTATTCTTTGGAGTATTACGGAACAAATTTTTTTTTTTAAAATGGCGCCTGGCTTTGTAAGAACAAGTTCAAACATCGAAGGAGAAAACCCAGGAGTAACAGCAATTGCGGTTGATATGGGCAAGAACAGCCATTTTGCTGTGAAATGGGCTACAGACAATCTCTTGAAAAAGGGCGACTCTTCCTCTTGCATTCTTGTTCATGTCCACCACAAACCAGCTCCCAATCGTGAGTTCCTTTTATTTTTTTTAGACTCATTATTATAATGTTCATGTCCATTCTTATGCTGTTATGCATTCTAATTTGTGCATGAAATCCTGCCCCAAAAAAAAAGAAAGTTTGCTTGAGAAATCCACCTTTTTACGTCCAAATATCCTGTTCTTTTCTATGCACGAAATCAGACTGTGTCTTTCTCGTTCAATTTTCACAAAACCAATTTACAGGTATGGAAGAATTGATTGACCTTGATATTTGGCAGAGAACCCAAATGGGCCATCCAAGAAGGAGCTGCAGCAACTATTCCTTCCGTTCCGAGGATTTTGTGCCAGAAAAGGGGTGAGTAGTGTCCAGAAAAAGAAAAAAAAATATCAATGAGATTTGTGTCTTGTGCGACCAAATTTTTTTTTGCTTTTTCTTTATCTTCTTAAATAATGTGTTTGGTAATATTGTTGTCTGCTGTATAATATTTCCAGATTAAAGCCCAGGAAGTGCTTCTGTTTGATACAGATATAGCAAAAGCTCTCTTAGAGTTCATTGCCAAGAACTCCGTAGCGACTCTGGTCATTGGTGCCACCAACAAGAGTGCTTTCTCCAGGTTCTGTCTCTTAGATAAATACTTCCCTTATGAATACGGATACTTTCTCGTTACTATATCGTTCGTTACTGGGTTTTCAATCTTCTAACAAAAATTTATGTATAAAAATTGGTAATTAACACGTGCTTAGTAATTAATTACGTGATGTTACACTAAGTTTGGAATGAACCAACCCTTGTTATGAATGGAACAACAACGAGGTTACCTAATCTGGAGCTGAGTCGCGGACTAGGTCGCTCTTTTTAAGACGTTCGCGGCACTGCCCTCGATGCGCACGGCAGACTATCAACCGGTCGTCTCCAGGATAAAACAGCTCATTTGTGCGAAAACCGGAGCTCTCTGAACACTCTCTCTATTGTATTTATGCTCGTTGTGGTGTGTTTAGAGGGGTTGGGGAGGCGGCTATTTATAGGAGTCGAACCCCTATATGGTCTCAAGTGAAACGACCGACCGATCGATCGGTCGGACTGACGGACGGCGCGCGCGTGTGTGGTGGTCCATTAGGTCCTCCCTCTCCCACAAAAGTGGGTCACCCAAAGGGGCATGCCCTTAGGAGAGAGGCTCCTATCTTTATACACATTTCACCAAGTAAAACTACCAATGTGTAGTTTTTCCACTTGAGACTCTATAGCTTTCAAAACTATTCATACACATTTCCAACAAACCTTATAAATTAATTAATTGTGATAATTATCTCGTCTTTACTTTTAATTCAATCATATCTCGATTTGGTTCCACTGTCTCAGGAAATTCTGGAGCGTCAGCCTTTCAACAACCCTACTCCAGGCCGCACCGGATTCCTGCTCCGTCTACGTCATCTCCAAGGGCAAACTCCAGAGCTTGCGGCTAGCAAATCAGCCGCCGCCGCCGCCGCATAACCACCAGCTCCCTCCGCCGAGCCCCGACCAACAGTCCGAAGTAATGTCGGTGTCGGAGTACAGCTACAGCCAGGGGAGCTTCAGGAGCGAGTTATCGTCCGACAGAATGTCCGTCGAGAGCAGCGAATCCGCCAGTGTTACCAGAATGTCGGCGAACAGAGGCGGCGGCGGGTATGGCAGAACACCAGCTGTACCTTCGGGGCATCATCATCAAGGCAGGATGATCAGTAGGTTGCCCGCGGCGGAATCTGCCGGCATGTCGAATTTCAGCGAGGCTTCGTCGGCGTCGTCGTTGTCGTCGGCGGTGATGACGAGGAACTTTCAGTATGTCGATGCGGCGTCGTATGAGAGCAATAATAATAGTACGGAGTTCTCTGGATTGTCGCCTAGTTCTACCAGCTCAAATAATTCATCCGAAAACATGGTAAGGAATTATATTCTATTCTATGTTCCCTTTGATTATTTGGTATTTTTCTGATTAAATTTTGAATCTTTTCTCACACATTAGATTTGTTACATAAAATCATTCTTATTGAAAATTAGTTCCTGAATTTTATTTTTTCACAAAATTGGTCTATAACTTTTGGTGGTTAAATTAAATTTTAATACCTTTACATTTTTAATATTGAAGTTTTAGTTTTATAAAAATATCTAATATGTTGTCGTGAGAAATTTCAAATCACGAGTTGTTGATGTGTATTTCAAAGTCACAAACAATAAATTACATATGTATTTCTAGTTCATTTATGTGTTTGGCACAAATTCAAATATCATTTTTAATTAAGATATAAACAAACAAAAATATTTAAAATTTCAAATATTAAATCCAAATCCTTCTATCAAATCCACATGCATCTTTTTTATATAAATAAAAAGGTAGCCATGTGACTAAAAAGTTAAATTTAAATTTTACTTAGCTATAAAATATCATTTTGAAACGGTGCATTTCATTCGTGTAATTCATATGTTTCGAGAATTATATATTCTCAAAACACATGTATTCTAACAATCAATGGTTCTAGATAAGCCCCTTACTTGCTGGTTCTACTTTCCATGATGTAGGTAAAAAGCATTAAAACATTACACTATTTTTACCATTAGAAATTACTAGCTAGTAAAAAATGGACTAATACCAATAGGAAATCTGAACTATTAAGAATGTGTCATTTATGTCCTAAAGTATCCAATATGACATTTGTGTTCTAAACTATTTTTCCGTTAGAGTTGACCGGCGTTAACCATTAGTATTTAACAAATGACACATTCTTAATAGTTCGGGTTAGGACATAAATGACACAAAACTATAATAGGTTGGAACATAAATGACGTACAATACTATAATAGGTTGGGACACAAATGTCATATTGGATACTTTAGGACACAAATGACACATTCTTGATAGTTCGGGTTTCCTAGTGGTATTAGCTAGCCCTAAAAAATTTGACGCTTCTTCTTCTTTGGTGATTTCTGCTATAAACCAAAAACTTATTTCCACGCCCCTCAAACATATGTCAATTCATGAGTTTGAAGTTTGCACAGACTCCAACTCTGATACAATGTCATAAACCAACTGATACCAATAATTCTAATTGCTAAGAGATGCTCATGTATGATATTTAGCCACTTTCTTACCATTTCTTCGTGGCAATTACGTACAGCAATTGATTGAGTCAGAAATCAGGAGAATGAAGCTTGAACTGCAGAAAAATCTCGATGCTTACCATTCCATTTGCAAAGATGCTGCCACGGCCAATCAAATGGTATATCGAGTTATTATGTTTGTTAAAATTTCCAGTGATATACTTTTAAGTCAATTTATCTCGGGTATGAGAAGGAACTGCATACGAGTGTTTCCAGTTATAGTGGTTATATACGATGGAGTTATTAGTTTATGGTTTCATCTAATAAGTAGATTTATAAGGATGAATTGAGACCTATCGAGTCACATTACTTATTATCACCTTATCTACATTTTGTTCCACAGATGACAAAACCGCAAAATTTCCATTCTCGTGAATCCGAATCCGACGAGGATTCCACTATGTCCTTGAACCTCGGGATTTCAACACCGGAAATCGAATTACAGAGGAACAAGGCGGCGAGAATATCACAACTATTGTCGGAGATGGAAGGTCAGAAGAAGCAAAATGCAGAAATGATGAGAGCCAATTACAAGCAAGCTCTAAGAGATAAGAACCACCACAACTCTAGATCGACGGAGTCGCTTGCATATTACGGCGGCAGCCAAAATCCTATTGTTCAGTTCAGAGAGTATAACATCCAAGATATAGAGATGTCGACGAACCACTTTGCCCCGTCGAAAAAGATTGGTGAAGGTGGGTATGGACCTGTTTATAAAGGCATAATCGATGACGTTCCTGTCGCGATCAAGGTTGTCAGACCAGACTTGTCTCAAGGACAAAAACAGTTCCAAAAAGAGGTAATTCAAGTAACTTCTGTTTAAATATATGAATAGTACGAAAAGAAGGATGTACTGTTTTTATCATTCTCTTTTTCTCTCTCAACAGGTCGAGGTATTGAGCACCGTGAGACACCCACACATGGTGAATCTCCTGGGCGCATGCCCTCAATACGGGTGCCTGGTCTATGAGTACATGGACAATGGGAGCTTAGAAGACCGTCTCATGAGGAAAGACAACACCCCGTCGATCCCATGGCCCACGAGGTTCAAGATAGCCTCCGAGATCGCCACGGGCCTGCTCTACCTCCACGAGCACAGGCCTGAGCCCATCGTCCACCGTGACCTCAAGCCCGCCAACATCCTTCTGGATTCCAACTACGTTAGCAAGATAGGGGACGTGGGTCTCGCGAGGCTCGTCCCGGGGGCCGCACCAAACAGTAACGTGACACGATACCATATGACTGCAGCGGCAGGGACATTTTGTTACATTGACCCGGAATACCAGCAGACAGGGCTATTGTCCGTGAAATCGGACTTGTTCTCACTCGGCGTGGTTCTGTTGCAGCTCATCACGGGGAAACCCCCAATGGGGTTGTCGTACCATGTCGAAGAAGCCGTCGAGAACGAGAGGTTCTCGACGGTTCTTGACCCGACGGTTAAGGATTGGCCCGTGGAGGAGGCTCTGTCGCTCGCCAAGCTGGCATTGCAGTGTTGTGAGCTGAGGAAGAAGGATAGACCTAGCCTTGGGAATGTAGTGCTTCCGGAGTTGAACCGGTTGAGAGATTTTGCTGTGGGTTTCTCGTTGGGTTGTCCAGAAGACATGGATGTTGCACCACCACACCATAACGAGGTATGCGGTAGTTGTTCTTGAAGGGGAAAAAAAGGGTATCTTTGAGTATTATATAGAAAATGGGTTCTTTTTGTTGAAATGTTAGAATGTTTGAGTGTCTTTTTTCTAATTTTTCTTTGTCTGGGATCATTTCAGGAACTTTTCAGAAGATGAAAGTGGGAAAATGGTGGCTAGCTAGCTCAAAAGGGGAGGGAAGGTTTTGTGTTGGTCTTCATGTTATTCAAGTTTCCAACTTTGTTTATTTAGATGGGGATATTCATTTGATTCATTTCCATTATTATTGTGGAGAATAATCATGAAACAATCTATGAAAGAAAAAGAGGTGAGACATGCAAGGGAAAGAAGTCAAGAACTATTGAAAGTTTTGAGAGAAAAATGTGAAAGGGTAGGGATATGGAAGAAGAGGTGGGGAAAGAATTATTGACTCATTTAGATTGTAAATTTTTCTGTCTAATATTTTTTAGATTCAATTATGTTTTTAATTCTATCTTAATTTTTTGTGGGAGCGATAGAAATATTAAAAAAATTAATCAAATCAATACAAAATAATGATAAATATCTCAAATTTCATTTTCGATCCAATCTTCTACCAAAACAAGATAAAAATTAGCCTCGTCGTGACTTAAGATGGATAATAAAACTAATTTAAATGCATTCCTCGATATTGATATGATCAATATATACATTAAAAATATCATATATATAAGTGAGCAATGAGTTCAAATCCTAATCATATATAAGTGAGAAATGAGTTCAAATAAATTTTTGGACGACAAAAGTTAAAAATGTGTGAACTTGGAGATTTATTCTGAAGATTACACAATAGTCTCTTCCTATTTTTCATATTTGAAGAACTATTTAGCCACGATTGTTATCCGGGGGAAAAAAAAACTGAAAGCAGAAGGAAGAGAGAGAGAGGGAGGACGTGGGAGTTGGGAATCTTCAAAGCACAGAAGAATCGGCACAAGTCCCTTTTGATTTCCACAGCGTTAGGTTACAAATCGAAAGCCCAATTTTCCCAATTAGCTCCGCCACTCAAAAGTTTCCGTCTTTTCTTTGTTCGCTCTCTCCATCCATCGCCGCCACCGCCATTCCCACGAAACCCTAATTCCTCAGGTTCTCCGTCGGAACCCACCGCAATGTCTTTCTCCCACTCCGACCACAACCACGATCCCGACCGCCGATCCCAGCAGCAACCACCGCAGCCCCGTCTCTACAACCCGTACCAGGACCTCAACACCCCGATCAAAACCCTCTACAACCTACCCACATCGCCGGAGTACCTCTTCTCGGAGGAATCCGTCAAGCAGCGCCGCTCGTGGGGCGAGAATCTCACCTTCTACACCGGCACCGCCTACCTGGGCGCCTCCGTCGGGGGAGGCGCCGCGGGGCTCTACTCAGCGGTCAAGGCGTTCGAGCCGAACGATACGCTCAAGCTCAAGGTGAATCGCGTCCTCAATAGCTCCGGCCACGTGGGCCGGGTCTGGGGGAACCGGACCGGGATCGTCGGATTGATCTACGCGATGGCAGAGAGTGGGATTGTTGCGGCTACGGATCGGGATGACGTTTGGACCAGCGTTGCGGCCGGGCTCGGGACCGGCGCCGTTTGTAGGGCGGCGAGAGGGGTGAGGTCTGCTGCTGTCGCTGGGGCTTTGGGAGGGCTGGCTGCAGGAGCTGTGGTGGCTGGGAAGCAGGCGATGAAGAGGTATGCCATGATTTGATCGGAACAGGGGGAGAACGAGGACAAAGGTTGGAGCTTTGAGGTTAGGGTATGAGTTCTTTTTTTAGTCTTCTCCTTTAGACTTTTGGTTTGTTTGGTAATAAGCATTTGATATGATGTGTTCTGCTCCAGTTTTGATCGTGATATTAGAAATTTGGTGGAAGGGAAATTAGGAAGAAGAAGAAGAAGCACAGGGAGAATGAATCAAAAGGAAAGAGTAGTTAGTTGGTAAGTGTGGAAAAATTCAATGTTATTTTGGCATGGAAGAATCATGCTGTGATGAACAACAAAAATTTGATGAAATGTATAATGGTGGTGTTCTCATTTCTCTGGTGATGTAATTCGCCGACTTTGTTCGAATTTAAGGAATAACATTCTGCTGCTGCTTTGATATAGAGCTACAAATGTTGTAGTGCATTTGTGTTTGTGCTCCGGCGTGGTTGCGTAATATCTTGATCTCAATGAGTATCCTTGATAAGGAAATCTATGCTGTTTGGAAGCTTTTTTTTGTGCTGTGGATCTGTTGTTGCAGGTCATCTTTCAGTTTAGGATCTTATTAAGCTGCTAGTGCTGAGTTTTTGTTCATCCATCAGATGTATAATGCATCATGCATGTATGCTTTGGCTGCAGCTTATTCCTTAATCCTGTACCTCTCAGCTGTGTCGAACCGTTCTTGGTAGAGGTCTGTTGGTCTTTTATCCAACTAGGCAATCTCCTGCTTTATACCATGTCTAGGATGAAATCTTAATGCAGAGTGCCTGACAGTGTGCATGGTTTGTTCAAAAAAAGAATGGATTTGAACACATGCATAATCTGGTTCAACAATGAGGATCCAATGGTGCTGGTTTTGTGTTTCTAGTTGTGACTTGTGTCAGTGGCTCCTTGCCTGTCACAAAGTCAGCCAAGCTTAATGATGTGTTTGAGTTTTTAACTTCTTTATCCTTTTTCTGGCTTGTGAATTTCATGCAAATTCTTGTTAGTGATGACCACCCCAATTTCCCCTTTCTTGTACATTTTTAGACAGTTTGCTAGAAAAAAGCCAAAGAGGCAGACACCTTAAACTTTCGGCTCATATTTGCAGCTATAGCTTCTATCCGTGAAAGCTATGTATACTTCAAACATATTTGGGTAAAACACTCCTCTTATCACTTAAGTTTGAGAATTGAGAATTGGAGTAGTTTGGAGTGAACAAATACACCTGCAAACCGACCAATCCGTCCTACCCAATCCATCCGTATTTAACATTAAAACTAAGATTTAGATTTATGTGAGCGTTTTCTTTTGTACAATCCGTCTCTTTTGAATTGGATTTAGATTTTGGATTATACAACTTGTAGTATCCGATCCTACCCGTGTTTCAACTATTGATATGAGTTTGTAACCAAAAAATATTTATATCGTATATAGTCATACTTATGAGAAAATTAAGATATTTCGCTATATTTTTCTCTTATGGTCTCCCTAATCTTATGCATTCTTTGGCTTAAAAATTTAGACATATATTAAATATAGCTATGATTCACGTAATCCTTTTTCTTATGTACAATGTTAATAGAATAGCATATTACGGATGTGTTCGTTTATAACCTTTTTAGCATATTTCGACCAAAGTCATCAAAAAACTAGACATGTTTTGATACCTTTCACCTCAGTTTATTCGTTTTAAATTTTAATTAGTTATAAAAATATCTCTATGGTTTAGAATAATTACATATTTTGTGTTGGTTGGGTTTCTACTTAAAAATATCACCAACATGACCCAACCTAGTTAGAAACAAACTGTAGAGTTTTTTTTTTATGGGTTTGGATTTAATATTTCTCAAACCGTAATGCATGGGTCGAGTGATTAAAATGGCTACACCTGAGCCACCCAACTCATGTACACCCTCAGAGCATCTCCATTGGTGCAATGGCATTTGCAATTGCATTTGTTTTTTTTTTATTGTTACTTCATTTTTTTGCAATCCAACTCATCTTACTTGCATTGCACCACATCAATGCAATTAACTTGTAATAGCAACTAATTTTTTTTATTTAATTTATTAAAACATAAACACTCAAATAATAAAATTAATGAATACTTTAATAATAAAAAAGATGATGTGGCTTGCATTCCATAATTGCATTATATGCAAGCTTGCAAAGATGCAATTGTCATCTACATCAATGCAATTGCATAATGTAATTGCAAATTAATGTCATATCATAATGCAATTCTAATTGCAATTCCAATGGAGATGCTCTCACATCATTTAAATTTAGAATAAGACATCAAGTATCATTAGAGTCTTATGAAAGTGCATTCAACCCATTTCTGTCCAACCCAAAATATTAGTTACATTTTGGTTCTCATAACTTTATTGAAAGGCAATTTCTTCATAAATAACCACGAGAAACCAATAAGAGGCTTATGTTTCTAAATAAATTCAAATCTAGCTCAAAATTCTTATACTACTGCTAATGAACGACCTTCTAAAATCTATGGGTTTAATGAAAAATATTGTGATTTAAGTAGATGATCTAATATTTAGTAAACTACTTACTACTAGGCGACATGAGTTTGAACCTAATTAGCTTACTTTTGAACCTAATTAGCTTACTTTATAAAATAACTATGAGTAGTTCATACAAATAGGTGACAAACTGAACTCGCCCTGTCAGATATATCCGAACCGTAGTAATGTGTGGCGGGGCATAGTTATCTATGTCCAACCCATCCCGCCCTCGTTCTTGACCTATTATATATCAATTTCTTACATATCTATTCATACTTATCCTTTTTTTAAATATTTCTTCAACTAGTTAAACTCAATTACACATTCTATTATCATTGTCTTTCATTCATAAAATGTTTACTTTTCATTTTATTGTAAAATGTTAATTTTGCGTGTAATTTTTTCAAATAACATGTAAGATTGGATCAACCCACCCTGTCTCGTACCCACACATGTATAATACCCGCTTCAGCCCGCGCTTGGTGCGAAACGAGTATGAACGGTACTTGCCTCTCTCCATTACCATCAGTACATACAAAGGATGAGTCTCACCATAGTTGGTTTTAGAGCTCTTGACACTTGTGAGGTAAAAGTATTTCGAATAAATTCAAAAGAATTTTGGTAAAAAGGAAAAGAAGATGTATTACTTTTAAAATTTAGAAGAATATTTTGTCAATTTTACCATAAAGCACTTATTATAGACTAGATTTATGTGGTACCCAATACACAAAAGAGTATTTAGTGATATGCACTTCCTTAAATAAAGTAAAGTGACATGCACTCATCAACCTGTAAATTCAAGTGACATCATAGGTATTTTACTCTGCATATGTATTGTGTAAGAGGGTACATCAAGGTTGTCAAACCGGTTAATACTATTGTGCCGGTTTAGCTAGTGTAATGGTACGATCAGTTGTACAACCGGTTAGTGTTGATTCGTGCCGGCTTAATAAAATACGATATTTCAAATAAAATAATAAATACTCATATTTAAATACAATATTTAACGTCAATACTTAAAGTCTTAAACGCTTATACTTGAATCCAACAAATTACATCAACTTTTAACTTTTATATTCATAAAATATATAATAAATTGATTTTTCATTAATTAAATTTACTAAACGACGTCGATTTGCTTAGAGTTCGTAAATCAATCATGTCGGTCATACCGATGGCATGACAACCATGGGGCATTGAATGTCAAACCAAAAATAATCTTGCATTCAAGAATCTAAATCGAGTGCGATTAAGCGTCGGATTGGTCTTATTTGATCCAAGTATCGGTGTCCAACACTAACCTGAGGGCGCCAGCCCTTAAACTAAACAAGAATTTTGAATGTAACTATACGAAACATCGACTTGGTCGATTAAAAATCTTGCATTTGCAGAAGCAATGGAATGGGGCCATTTGTTCTTTCCCTCTCTGCTGGTGTCAAAAAATTTGAGGTACCTTTTGGGTTTACAAAGCCTTGAAAAGCCCCTATCTTATTGAACTCATCAACAACGGTTTCTTTTTACTCCCCTAAAGGAAATGCTAACTCTATCAAACATGCTTTTGCTCGTTCGAATTCAATGAATGCAATAAAAAACCGGAATGGAGTTTCCAACAGTGTTATCAGTGTGTCTGGTTTCAGATGCACGCTTGGCTTCCATTGCTTGCCCACTTGGTTCAATTCTCTATAGCAACATCGACTCAGGATTCTCAATGTAACCCTTGAATGCCTTCAGCCATTCTGCCCCAATAGCGCCTGATACATATTCAGCAGTGTCAGTGCTATTATGTTGAGTCAGAATGTATATATGATTGTAAGAAAAGATGTACGGTAAAGATCATACCATCGATAACCCGATGGTCACAACTTAGTGTCACGGCCATGAATGAAGCAAACGAGTAGGCATCAGGACCGGAACCGGGCACTACCCTCTTCTCGGCTGTTGAAGGTGGAAGCAAATTATCATCAGCAGGGAACCATCAAGTCTTTGTTGATGTGGAAGGAAAGGATTTATCTTTTACCTGAACCAACAGCTAGAATTCCTGCCTGTGGAGGATTCACAATGGCGCAGAATTGCTTGACGCCAAAAGGCCCGCCCAAATTAGACACAGTGAATGTTCCTCCCTGCCACATTAATAGACATCGCATGATTTTAAGTAAAGCTTTTGGATAGAAGCAAGTCCAAGGAGGAAAGAACAAATAGAGAGAGATAGTGATTAGTACCTCGTAATCTTCTGGCTTCAAGCTATTGTCCCGGGCTTTTTGGGCCAAATGTTTGACTTCTTCGCCAATTGCTGACAAACCTTTCTTATCGGCATCCTGGGATATGTTATAAGCATGATTTGCGTTAAGGACTAATCTATCAGTAATAATGGAATGGAACTTGGCATACAGCAATCTCTAGGATTGTCATTTCTTACCCTAATAACTGGAACGTACAGCCCATTATCCGTTTGTACGGCTACGTTGATATTTACATTCTTATACCTGTACCAAGAACAGAAAAGAAA